AAACACAACATTTTTACAACATTGTTACAGTTGTCAAACTGTAACCTGCAACTGTCACACAACCAAAATCACACACACACTGTTTTAAAAGCAAAACATAGCCTATTTATCCAACTCCATTTCAAAACAGTCTGTGTGTTCCATCTTTTGGACATTCATCATATTGCATTGGTTTCCATTTCTTGTCCTCGGAGCACTAATCTTACACATTCTACATTGATTAAAAAAAGAAAATCGAATGTGTTTTTAATGGTATTATTTTATACAGAAATCAATTATTTATAATTCAGATGAGAATAATGTTACATTGTCAATTAATAATGTTAATTAAAATTAAGGAAAACAAATATATTGATCTGAAATATAGCAAAATAATTTTAAATTAATTCAGGTACAATTACCAAACATATCGCAAGGTCTTTTTGTCTTTTTATTAATTTAATTAATAAACTAATTATATAAAACTATTGTCAGGGCACTACAAATAAACTGGTTCTATGCCTTTATTAAAAAAACTTATTTAAAAAATACAATGCCTTCTGCATTTTTGTTTTGCTTTTCCCTCCATTGTACTGAAATCGTACCGAACCGTGATGTCTGAACCGAACCGTGACTTCTGTGTACCGTTCCACCCCTAATAGATAGCGATGTGATTATGAACAGGTGAGATAAAGGACCTATTAGCCTGCGCCATCTAGAGTTTCATGCCAGAACTTTGTATTTGTATTTTAGAGAAGATCAAGGACTTGGTGCCAAAGGGAGTCGTCGATGAGATGACGAGACTAGTCTTGGTGAATGCCATTTACTTCAAAGGAGACTGGGAGAATACATTCAAAAAAGAAGACACCAGTGATGGGCAGTTTAAGCTGAACAAGGTGGGATTTCATGCTCTTTTAAAACATTTTTTAACTGTCACTAAAAGAACAGTTCTAAAGTGTTTCAACTTATGTTTGGCAGATTCAAAATAAACCAGTGAAGATGATGTATCAAAAGGCAATGTTTCCTCTGGCCTTCATCCCAGAGATCAACAGTCAGGTTCTGGAGCTGCCGTATGACGGGAAGAATCTCAGTATGTTGATCATCCTTCCTAACGAGATGGAAGACGACACCACTGGCCTTCAGAAGGTGAGACAGCACAGATTGATCATTTTTATTTTATTAGCAAGTACGTTTTTTTGTAAAGATGTTTACCTTCTCTCGTGCTTCACGTGTGTTTTTACAGTGAAATCTTTACTAATATTTATAAAGTACACAAAATAATAACTTTTTAATTATTTTGATTAACACTACTGGACTGAAGCAACTTAGGTTTACTGGTTTATCAGGCTTTTGATTAGGGCTGCACGATTAATTGTAACGAAACCGCAACGCGATTTGCGATTATTGTATGCGCAGCTTGTCAGTGCAGTGTGGCTGATCGGTAGAAAATGCTGCTTCATCTGAACGCCAGAGGGTGCTCTCACGCAGACACGCCAAATATGCCCCGCCACAGAAGTACAATAAGATACATCATTACAGGAAATCCCAAGGGGGTAATCCATCGACCGGAAGTTGAAGCCGGCCGGGTGCCGCCATGTTGTAGCAGAACTTCACTTGCGTTAGCATTTCCATTGACTCCCATTCATTTTGGCGTCACTTTGACAGCGAATAACTTTACATCTGAGGCGTTTAAAGACTCCATTTGTCCATTATTTATTTCTAAAGAAACACGACAATGTATACAGAGCTCCATTACCTTCTATGTTACATTATGGCCCCGTAGAAACAGATTTTGTAAAAACAGGCTAACGATTGCGTCATAACCACTCGACTCTCTGTCGCGCTGTACAGAAATGACCGTACAGACAGGAGGAGAAGCTCGCAGGCAATCGGGGGGGCGTCCCGTCAAGGGAGAAGCCCATAGATAATGAGTCCATAAAAGCAACGGAATACTTACTCCTGCTCACTCACGCCAAAGAACTCTTTGCTCAAGTTCCCCGTCTCTGTAAGATTAACGTTGGCAATTTTCACGCACAGCTACTAGAAGATTAACGTCTGTCAGACAGGTTGCTCACGTCATCAAGCTTAGTTTGAGTCGGTTTGAGTCTGCGCGTCAGGAACGGAAGTGCTCAGAAATCGCTAAAAATGGGCTTCAACTGTCTCAACTGAGTTCCAATGAGATGGCTCTGTCCACTTCTTATACTGTCTATGGGAAATCCGCTGTAGCTGAATAAACAGAAGATTTAAACGCTTTGATTGTTGATTAAACATGACTTATAAATACACGACTGCCTTATTCTGTGTAAGAAGCCACATCATCTAACAGAAGGATGCTCAACTGTCGTTATAAAGTGAGTTTGGAGTAAAGCATGTTATTAAATGTTGTCTTTTGTTGGACAGGAGGTTCATAAATGATTCTCATGTTTGAAAAGATGTTTGATGTGTGTTGCTTTTTCAAATGCACACTATAAGTGACTCAAACTCACAGTGCTTTCAGATGGAGCAGCGTTTAAGAGCCGTACATCAATGACAATCTGCGCATAAAAAACAATCGCAGCCTTTGCGATATCAAAATCGTGATAAGCCAAATCGGTTTAAAGTGCGATTACATGGAAATTGCGATTAATCGTGCAGCCATACTTTTGATGAGCATTTATTGGTAACGTTTTAGATTACAGCCCGGAAAGTACTGTATAATTAAGAGGAATTTACAGTGTAACTTTCTGTAATTATAGTGTACCTATAAAGTACTTGCATGTAAGTATAAGGAAACAATATGTAAAGTTTGGGGAATAAAGGGGTAACAACCAGGATAATTAAAAAAATATTTATACTGTAAGTACTAAGGGGTACTTATTCTACTATTATGATACAACAATCTTACATTTGGGAGCAATTTAGCGAGAACATACAGTACACTGCATACTTTTTTGTAATAATGTTGTACCAATACATACTGTATTACATACTGTATAGGCTTTTTAAAAATGACAGGGTACATATCTATGCATTTATTTAAAAAAAAAAAAACTATTTTTTGATAGGAAAAGTGCAGAGGTTTAAGGTTTAAGTTTGGGCTAACATGTTTCAAGGCAAGAAAAGCTAAGACTATTGCAATTTTTTTAAATACTGGGAAATATATATTGTTTGTGGTTACAGGGTAAGTGGTGCTTGTATAATAAATAAAGGTTTCCGAGTCAGTGATAGGCCTATAAGATTGTGAAAATGCATACATTTGTATTGTACTTACCCTGTAACTACATGGAAGAAGAGGGTAACAAGCACCACTTTAATTTACGGCCCGCAATGTCACACTTACCCTGTAACTACATGGAACAAGGGGGTAACCAGCACCACTACATGAAACAAGAGTATCTTTCCCCAATATTTAAGCAAAAGTTGCAATAGTTTTCGTTTTCAGTGCACTTTTGTTAAAAAGATTACTTTATAAATGCATAGATATGTATTTTGCTGGGCAAAAAAAATCGATTTTTCGATTAATCGTTTTTTAAAATGTGGTCGATTCAAAATCGATTCTCAACGGCCACGAATCGATTTTTTCCATATTCAGGGCTCGCGGTGCTGCATCTTCTCACTCTGTACAAGGCAAGCGTCGATACACACTCGTGTTTAGAAGTCGGGACATGACGAGCATTGCATCGTAACTAACGTTTATCATTTTCACGTCTTTTTAAGTTTTACCAGTTTAAACATTCAAGCAATTTTAAACTATCCAGTGCTCGTCTTGGTTAGTAACCTCGTAAAGACAGTCGGTTATGTCTTAAATAAGCATAAAACGCGTGTGACAGACAGTAGAATGAAACAGTAATGGATCCGTGCACTAGTTCTTAAAGTGAACGCAGCCATATGTGTCTGTCATTCATTTTGTTGTCAAAACAACATAATATATCATTAATTGTAAGGAATCAGAATTAATAGCCTATGTATTTAATTCAGTCAGGACTAAAAGACTATCCAGTGTTATTTTACATTGGATTTCTTTAGGGGAGAGCGGGGCACAACCTAACGCATTTTGGTTTTGGCTCAATTATTAAAAAAATTATTAAGTTAGATTCAACTTTTTTTTACACAAGCAACATACACATCTCTGCTACAAATGAACACTTAAAGTTTTTTTCTAGGACCTACCATTTTCGTACTGTTGCACTGAAAGTGACAGAAGTGCAAATGTTACAACTTACCCCAAATGCGGGGTTAATTGTAACAGACAGAGGGGTTAGTTGTAACACTTGTGTGTAACACACATAATTCAGTACTATTTTATTTGTATAGTTTGATATTGTTTGTGCATCTGTTTAGATAGATATCCATACATCCATCCCTCATCCAATCATCCTTCTATTATGGATCAATATCATGGATAGAGACCTTACAGTCTATGATAGAGACATAGAAAAGGGCAGCACAGTTTTGCAATAAATAAATAAATAATCAAATTGTAATTGCAATTGAATTAGATTTGTGTGTGGCAGTTGCATGTAAAATTATTATTATTAATTATAATAACAGTAATAATAATACAAATGAGCTTAAAATCAAAATTTAAAGGGTTTATTGCATTAAAAACAGGCCATATTTTTAATAAATAAACAAGTGATCAATGCATGGTAAAATAAATTTTAAACATTTTAAATTCCAACATTGTTTGTAAAAGTCCAACAACGTTAAATATATAAATAAATACTCAAACCTGAAAAGTTGTGTGGCTCCCTGTTTTCATTTGATTATCATTGTACACTTGGCGGCTTAGTTGTAACACTGTGCTACAACTAACCCCGCTGTGTAAAGCATATTTTAAGCCAGGCTAACAGTTGCTAGGGGTTGCTGACATGTTTCAAAACGGTGCTATGTTTTAGCAAACAAGACAGTGATTAAGGCAATATAAAGTTAGATTTGAAAACGTACACACCCAACTCAGAAACCGAAAAAAACCTGTGATGAAAAAATGTACTTGCATGGTGTCAAAACACTCTTTGTCCAGTATCTTCACGAAATATTATCAAAACTTTCCACAAATTCGCGGGAGACCGTCTTCTGGCAGCGAGAGAAAAAGAGCGGAAACACAACCGGCTTGATCCTGACTAACTATGTAAAAGGTCCGTGTTACATTTAACCCCGCGTTAGGTTGTGCCCCGCGCTCCCCTATTCAGTTTCTGTAGTATTTCTGACCTACCCAAAAACTTTTCTTTTTATGTCTCTTTATTTGTGTCTTTATTCTATTGTATTTATGTGTGCTACTTTTTTCAATTTAATTCAAAGATTGAAATCAAGCTTCCATGTGTTGCATAAACTCTTAAAAAAAAAATATACCCCATTGTAAAAACAAACATTTAGGTGAGATCAATGTAATAAAAAATTGTCTAAAAATGATAACTGATATTTATCTATCTATCTATCTTAAACATAAAATAACCTGATCCTGTTTGATCAAGGCGTGCGACTGTTCTGACTTAAGACTGACCAATTTTCAGCATCAATTTTGCATCTTGCATCAAAATCCTGTCTATTCATTGTAGGCATTTAGTGTATAGTGTACCTAAAATAAAAAGAGTTTTATATACAGGTTTGTGGCTCTTAATTTCTTTGTATTAATTAACCACTTGTAAACTTATGTCCACTGTTCTTTTTTATAAATAAAGGATTTGTATTACATCTACGTATATTCATTATAGTCGAATCAGGAATCGAAATCGAAAATTGAATCGAGAATCGAAATCGAATCTAATTTGAACATCTGAATCGATACCCAGCCCTAATAGATATGTACCCTGTAATTATAAAAAAAAGGCTATACAGTATGTATACTCCTGCTTGTTACCCCTTTATTCCCCAAACTTAAAATATTGTTCCCTTATACTTATATTGTAAGTACGTTATAGGTACACTATAATTACCGAAGGTTACGCTGTAAAATCGCTTTAATTACGCAGTACTTTCCGGGCTGTAATCTAAAGCGTTACCCATTTATTTGTTCATCTCAATCATGATTGTATTGCGTTGCATTATATGTTATGCACTTAAATATCATCTTACAAAGACATATTGTTAGCAGATATAGAGTGACGATTGATATTATATGTATTTTATGTTGTCTGCTATATTGTTATAAATATCTCAATGATTTAGATTACAAGCTATCAGAATTTTATCTTGCCTTTTGGCCATATAAATTTCCAAATATTTTTGCTCAGTTTGGGCCTGTGAATAAAATCATATAAAATAAAGTTACTGTCTCCATGACTCCGTTGGCCAATCCAAACTCAAAAAAATAAACGTCACATCATTGATGCTGTACAAACAGACCCCAGTTTATGCAAATAGACACACATTAACATGTCTCTCTTATTATCCAGCTTGAAAGGGCACTGACCTACGAGAAGCTCATGGAGTGGACCAAACCCAGCAAGATGATCCTACAGGAAGTTGAAGTGTCTCTGCCCAAATTTAAGATGGAGGAAACTTATGACATGAAGAGTCTTCTGATCAGCATGGGAATGGAGGATGTGTTTGACGAGGAGAAGGTGAATCTTTCAGGCATGTCTTCCAACAACGACCTGGTGCTGTCGAACGTGATCCATAAAGCCTTTGTTGAAGTAAATGAGAAAGGAACTGAAGCGGCTGCTGCCACCGCCACCGTCATCTTCATAAGTACATCCGGAATCATCTCATTATCTCCCGCAAAAACCTTTATTGCAGACCACCCGTTCCTTTACTTCATCCGGCACAATCCCTCCAATGTCATTCTGTTTTATGGACGCCTCTGTTCTCCTTGAAGGTAGTGATGATGACATGATAATTCTAGATGACTGTGTTCCTCTGATAAATAAAATCATTAGAAAATGTTTTTGTGAAATTGTTTGTATGCATATAATTTAACGGAGTCTTGATACAGTTCTGTACAACTTCAAGATACAAAGAATGTAAAAAACAGTATTTTGGATTAATCTGTTTAACATTTAGGTTTTTTTGTATGCTGCTCATATAGGGATCTCCCAGTCACGTGACCCCTAGCCGCGTGTCAGCCATTTTGACGGAATACATCCGTCGGCTACTCATAGATCCATTGCCGTGGGGTAATATATATTATTAGTATATTATACTAATAATATAATTATTAGTATTATTATACTAATAATATAATTATTAGTATAATTAGCTTAAATATTGCAATACTTTGCGCTACAGTATTGATATAATTGCATGCGCAAAATCATGGTGCAAAATATCTCCATACTGAACAGAATCGATTTTTTCCCCCACCACGTCATGTCATCGCACTTATTATTAGCATCACAAAAATAAATATACAAGAGGAAGATAAAGGAATTAGGAATCATATATCCATATAAAGCACCACAAGTTTTTTTTACAGGCATTAAATGTGTAGAAAAACTTCCTGACATTGAGTTCGGTGACATTACAGCTACATTATTCACTTCCCATCACGCTACACCGGGGTTTCATTAAAAGAAAATGATTTTTCAATCATCACCGCAAAGGTTGGTCAATGTATTTTTATCACCAAATTATACCTGTAGGCCTAATAATTTTTAAACTGAGTTTACAGGGGGAAACACAAAACAAAATAACCAACACGATTAAGTGCATCTTTAATGAATTTGTTTAATCTAGTTTGATCCAAGAAAAACGAAATAATAGCCTATGCTTATATACTTTTTTTATACTTATCACTGACTGTCACTGTAGTATGATAAACTGTCATTGAGACTGTTGTCTCAACCTGTGTTTCTAACGATTTATAAGAAGTGTCAAATAAAATACAAGATCAGCTTTTGGTATTTGAAAACTAAAGACTGTAATGTGATAATACGCCTAACGAATTAACTGATCTAGGAATGTATGTATGCGTTTTGCCTGTTTATTGCTGCCAACCTCTTTTCTCCGTTTTGTTTCTTTTGGGATACGGTATAAAAATATTCCTTTTGTATGATCACGGATCTGATCGCATCCAAATGCACAGCATCGCTCGGGCATTATAGGAATATTTCGCGACGAGCTGTATTATCACCGGCGGTTTAGCATTTTCTATTCCGTCAAGATGGCTGCTCCAAATGGCGTGACGTCACGCGGGACGTCCCTACATAGGTCTGTCCTCCATAACTTTACGCTATGGCCGTTCTTGGCATTGGGTGTACAAGTTCACAACAAGTTTTCAAATCTTTTCTGTTTACCTCTTGGATGACCTTGTCTCTACAAAATCCCCCACAGGTGCTCAAAAGTGTTAAGTTCGGGTGAAATACTTGTTAATTTAAGGATTTTATCAATTTTAGGTGATAGAAAATATCAGAGGGGCTGCAAGTATAAATTCGACGTTTACCACGGCTCCGTGTCGAATATTGCCGTATTTGGGGTAACAAGCTATATGGTATAAACTGCGCTAGCCAGGCCGTGCGCGCTTCCAAAAGAAAAACAAAAACGCGTAGCGGAAGACCAGAAGTCAACCAATTCAATACAATAATTTCAAAATAAAAGACAATCACCTTTTCTGTAACAAAATATACTTATGGTTATTTACACTCCCACCAAATTATGAGAGTTTGTTAAGGATAACAACAACGAAGAATTTTCAACATAAAATAACCATTTCTCTTAATTAGCTTATGGACATTCTAATATCAGAATTAGCTTTTGCACAGGACGCTCTACAACAGAAAGCTTATTAATGCGTTGACCTTTGTTATTCAGTCTCTTATCTCCAAAGGAGATTTTCACTCTTCACACAAGTCCGTCCTTGCCGCTAACAGTCTCCATGACTCTGGCAAGTCTCCATTCACCTCTGGGTGACAGTTCATCAATGTCCAACACAACATCACCTACTCTTAGATTCCTTTTTGGTGAGTGCCAGCGCTGCCTAGCAATAATGTTGTGCAGATACTCACGCCTCCACCTGCACCAGAACTGCTCAGTTAAAAACTGCACACAATGCCATCTCTTTGCTCCATAGAGGTCCTCCTTTGGGAAGGCACCGGGTGGGGGCAGTGCTGTGCCAGATTTCATGTGGAGCAGGTGGTTAGGGGTAAGTGGTTCCAAGCTGTCAGGGTTGTTAAGGTTGTCTACAGTCAGTGGGCGACTATTGGCTATGGCCATAGCTTCATAAAACAAAGTCCTTAATGAAGCATCATTAAGTCTACCATGTGCAAGTGACAGAGTAGTATTCAATACACTTCTGACAGTTCTTATCTGGCGTTCCCACACTCCACCTGCGTGACTGGAGTGAGGTGCATTCATCACAAAGTCGTTTTTGGGACAGATAAGTACTGTCTTTGGGTGTCCAGTTCACTTTTTTAAACTCATTCTTTGCGCCAACAAAGTTTGTTCCCAGATCACATTGGATTTGGCAAATTGCACCGCTGATAGCAATGAAATACCTTAATGCATTAATGAATGTGTCAGTGGATAAGTCCTCTAATAGCTCAATGTGAATGGCGCGGGAGCAAAAGCAAGTGAATAAAAGTCCATACCGCTTATGTTGTTTTCGGCCTTCTGTAGTTACAAAAGGGCCAAAACAGTCCATACCGCAGCATGTGAAGGGCGAAGAGGGCTCTAAGCATTCTGCAGGTAGGTCGATCAATCTCTGACCCTCCGGAGCTTTGCGGAGTCTGCGTTAGATGACACACTGGCGGATGAAAGAAGCAACGGTTCTGCTCATCCCTGGGATCCAGTAGCCACTGGATCTGATTTCGTTTATGGTGAAGCCTTTTCCTTGGTGTTTTACTTTATCATGACAGTGAGCTATTATGAGTTTGGTCACATGATGTTCCTTTGAAATCACAATAGGGTGTTTGAAAGAGACCGTCCGTGTCCCTGAAAACGTCTAAGTGGAACAGTTTGTTGTGATGTGGGAGCTGGTTGCCTTTGTTTAATAGTTTTATCTCTTCTCCATATGCTTGTTTTTGTACATCCTGAATGATGACACGTACTGCACTTTCTTGTTCACTTACTGTAGCCAGCGCATCTGATTTGACTTTCTTGGCCCTTCTTATGAGACGTGCTACAGCTTTGACTGCTTTGGACCATGACGAGAACATGGACAAACGTTTTGCAAGGCTGAATGTCTCTGTAACTTTGGTTAACATTGTCTGTGTTTTTCTGACTTGTGGATCTCCAAGAGACGGTTTCAGCTCTACACTTTGAGTTGTGGGCAGGTCCCTCTCCCAGAGAAAGGAGGGTCCGGTGAACCAGTTGGATGAGAGAAGCTCAGTGACCGATTTACCCCTAGATGCACTATCGGCTGGGTTCTCTTCAGATGGCACATAAAACCATTGCTGAGGGTTTGTACTTTGGCGAATCTTTTGGACTCTATTCGCTACAAAAGTATGGAAACGACGTGCCTCATTGTTTACATAGCCCAAAACTACCTTTGAATCAGTCCAGAAAAACTCTTTGACTTGAGCGTAGCAGAGTTCCTCTCTCATCATGTTACTAACTGAGACTGAAACTACAGCTGCAGTTAGCTCGAGTCTGGGGATTGTAGTCAGCTTGGTAGGAGAAACACGGGCTTTGGCTATTACCAATAAACAGTGAATCTCCTCTTTAATGTTTTTGGCTCTTAGGAGCATGATGAACGAGGTGCGCTTGTTCCATGGCGCAATACTATTATAACGGCGCATTTACCAGGCGCGCTTCAGAATCGGTTCACAGCCGAGGAGATCCATGTTCTCGTCGGGGCCGTAAAAGAAAGAGAAGTGACATTAGGGATGGGACAAACCCACCCAAATTAGCTTCGGTTAAACATGCATAAAATAATTTGGGTAAATGTGTAAGCTTTATGCCTATTTTTCCCCTCGTCATGGACACAACAATGATTTCCCACGTGTTTTAATATTTTTCCTTATAATAATGTATCATTTGCAAAAAGTAAAATGCATCTGTGTGGATGAGAGAATCATCTACAGTGTATGCGCGTTGTTCACACTCCATATTGTGGCCAAGCATGCGCGCTTAAAATAGCATCTGAATGTACGCGCAACGCGCCACTGACTTTAGACTAGGTTTTTTCTGGTCAGTGGCGCAATTGTTTTCTGGAACTGCAAAATAGTATCAGGGATTGTTTGCGCGGGAACACGCCTCCTTTTTGCGCCGACCCGCCCAGGGAGCGCAAGTTCATTTCCTAGTTTACCGACGTGCGTCTGTGGAGGGAAAAGCCCGCTTTGCGCGGGTGCAAAATAGGAATGATACATGCGTCGGTGTACAAAGTCATTTGCGCCGGGTGCAAGATAGAGCCCATAGTGTTCAGCACCTTCACAGGAAGGTCCCCGGATAACCGTTCAAGGGCCACACATGGAGGGCCCATAAGTCGGGTCGTGGATGCGACAACGTTCCCTTCGCCTGTGTGAGGAGGTCTTTCCTCATCGGGACAGGCCATGGAGCTGTGTCCGATAACTGAACCAGCTCCGGAAACCACGGCTTGGATTTCCAAAGAGGAGCCACCAGAAGGACTGGGCACTCTCACTCTCTGACCCGTTTGATGACTTGCGGAATCATCGAGACGGGGGGAAAAGCAAACAGGGGGCGGTTGGGTCAGACGTGGGCCAACGCGTCCCTGTCCTTCGAGAAGAACATTTTGCAATGGGTGTTGTTTTTCGAGGCGAACAGGTCGATTTCGGCCCTGCCAAACACCTCCCATATTAGACTGACCGTCTGTGGGTTCAGGGACCACTCGCTGAGGGGAGTGTTGCCCCGTGAGAGCATATCTGCTCCCAAATTCTGGACGCAGGGATATGTGCAGCCCTCAAAGAGCTCAGATTGGTCTGTGCCCATAAGAGGAGATCTCTCGCCATAGCATGCAGGTCGCCTGACCTGACGCCCCCCTGGCGATTT